GTAATTTTTGGGCTCATGAGCATGAGAAACTCTGTGCAAAGATAGTGATTAGTGGTGGAGCTGGTGACTTCCAAACTGAAGCAATGGTGGTGAATGGGTCCTGATGATTTACCCAGAGAATGGAGATATAGTACACTAGAAAATAGAGGATGACCATATTCAAACATGTTGAGCACAAAGTATTATCTTTTTTACCACAACTTATCCAGAGCAAATGGAATGCTTGAACTATACTGACAGCAAGAAAGGCTACCATGTATTTGACGGGAGGTTTCATATGAAGCCCAAATGTAACATTGAATACACCAGATGCTAATATTTCACAACTTACTTTGTTTAAACCAAACATTAAGATGGAAAAGCGATAAACATTCACCTTAAGCATTGCATGTGTGTTCCATTACTTTATTCCATCAGTATATTACCAATTCTCACAAAGCTGGATTAGATTTGTTAAAAATTTCAATATGCAATCTCTAAATACTCAGAAATATAACATCTTTTTCAAGCAAACAGCAAAAAGAACACAATCATAAACTGACATGTAGAAAAGTTTGAAATTATTCTTATTTGTTTTGTCTGTTCTATCTTTCATTGATTCGAAAAGAAAAAGTTATTATTACAAAAACATCACAAAAAATAACTTAACTTTTCAATTGATCACATGCATTTCTATAGTCTTAAAGGCCTTTTAAGGAAAACGAATGATTCTTTGTACAAAACATTAAACATCACGTAGTTGAAACAGAATTCACATTTATATATCTCCTACGTATTATTTCGGCTGATCCAATGTTACTGTGTTGTAAAATAACTGTAAACAATATGACAAAAACCAGTATGTATATGATTGACATTACTTGTGAATAATACATCTATTTTCTATTGAGGTAAATGCGGATACATTTCCAAACCTGTGCTCACATTCAACACTCATAAAACAAATCAGACCATGTTGTTGCTATGGTGATCTGACTTTGGGTCTAAATACACTTTGAACTGTATTTCAGTTACTCCTCGGAGTGTCAGTAGGAAAGCCGAGAGTGATACAGGTCTAAGATGTTTTGGTGATCTAAGATGGCCACTTTTGGAAAACCTACAAGCACAGTTATGGTGCGGCTAAAAGTTGGAACATGATCAGGTCAAATCTGGATTTGAACCCATGACTGTAGGGTTCTGATGGGCCTAAGGGAGGCAACTCTGCAAGTCAATTACTGAGCCTTGGATGACTTGGCTAACTATCTGAATGACGACTACTCTGTATAATGGTGGGATATCAAGACTTTAAAACATGAAATTTTGCAGAATTAATCATATTTCCAACAACCTCATACATATAATAGAGCTGATTGCATAATTCTTTAGCTGACAAACAAACACAGGCCAATCAAATCCTATATACAATCCAAGTTGAGTGAGTGAGAGAGACTAAGTGTTAGCGGGAGTGAGGGTTAGAGTGAGTGAGGGTTAGAGTGAGTGAGAGAGAGTGAGTGAGGGTTAGAGTGAGTGAGAGGGAGTGAGTGAGGGTTAGTGAGTGAGGGGGAGTGAGTGAGGGTTAGAGTGAGTGAGGGTTAGAGTGAGTGAGAGTTACTGAGTGAGGGGGAGTGAGTGAGGGTTAGAGTGAGTGAGAGGGGTGAGTGAGGGTTAGAGTGAGGGAGAGGGAGTGAGGGTTAGAGTGAGTGAGAGGGAGTGAGTGAGGGTTAGAGTGAGTGAGAGGGGTGAGTGAGGGTTAGAGTGAGGGAGAGGGAGTGAGGGTTAGAGTGAGTGAGAGGGAGTGAGTGAGGGTTAGAGTGAGTGAGAGGGAGTGAGGGTTAGAGTGAGTGAGCGGGAGTGAGTGAGGGTTAGAGTGAGTGAGAGGGAGTGAGTGAGGGTTAGTGAGTGAGGGGGAGTGTGTGAGGGTTAGAGTGAGTGAGAGAGAGTGAGTGAGGGTTAGTGAGTGAGGGTTAGTGAGTGAGAGAGAGGGAGTGAGGGTTAGAGTGAGTGAGAGTGAGTGAGGGTTAGAGTGAGTGAGAGTGAGTGAGGGTTAGAGTGAGTGAGAGTGAGTGAGGGTTAGAGTGAGTGAGAGTGAGTGAGGGTTAGAGTGAGCGAGAGAGAGTGAGTGAGGGTTAGAGTGAGTGAGAGTGAGTGAGGGTTAGAGTGAGTGAGAGTGAGTGAGGGTTAGAGTGAGAGAGAGAGAGTGAGTGAGGGTTAGAGTGAGAGAGAGTGAGTGAGTGAGGGTTAGAGTGAGAGAGAGTGAGTGAGTGAGGGTTAGAGTGAGAGAGAGAGAGTGAGTGAGGGTTAGAGTGAGAGAGAGTGAGTGAGTGAGGGTTAGAGTGAGTGAGGGGGAGTGAGTGAGGGTTAGAGTGAGTGAGGGTTAGAGTGAGTGAGGGTTAGAGTGAGTGAGGGTTAGAGTGAGTGAGGGGGAGTGAGTGAGGGTTAGAGTGAGTGAGGGTTAGAGTGAGTGAGGGTTAGAGTGAGTGAGAGTGAGTGAGGGTTAGAGTGAGTGAGGGTTAGAGTGAGAGAGAGAGAGTGAGTGAGGGTTAGAGTGAGTGAGGGTTAGAGTGAGTGAGGGTTAGAGTGAGTGAGAGTGAGTGAGGGTTAGAGTGAGTGAGGGTTAGAGTGAGAGAGAGAGAGTGAGTGAGGGTTAGAGTGAGTGAGGGTTAGAGAGTGAGTAAGTGCACCAGCAAATGAGAGAGTGTAAGAAAATCAGTGAGAGCTAGAGAGAATGAGTTGGTGAATGAGTGATCGAGTTAGAAGTGAGTGAGTATGATTTTTATGCTGCTTTTAGCAACATTCCAGCAATATCACGGCGGGGGGAAAACCAGAAATGAGTTGATGGAGCTAGTTGATAGTAACAGAATGAGAGGGAGTGTTAGTGAGAGAAAGAGAGTTAGCATACATATAAACATTCTGAGTAAAATATAATACATTATTTAAAAAACAAACAATATGTATTTGATATGTATTAGTATATAATAACACTCTCAGTGTTAATGCATTGTGCTTAATTCACTACATTTTTTACCACCATTTAACAAAATAAAGAAACACTGTTTCTCCTGATCAGAAACACCCTTTCATTTACATCTCTTACAAAGAATTTCTTTTCCCCATCCCTCTCACATATATCCTGCAAATGTACTCTTCTTACAGTTTCATTCAATTTAGATCTCTTACTCCCATAAATATAGGCGGTCGTGTCAAGGGAACTTTCTAATCAGCCAATCAGTGTCAAGGCTTCTAAATGTTTGGTACAAGTGAGCAAAACCTTAAGACCAGCATGTCTAATTTCTGTATTTTGAAAAGAACGTTAAAATGATCAGATCTGAATGTACATAAGTAGTGTAAGTATTGGATATTTTACACAACCTGTTGTTTTTGAACGCCATGGTATCTACCCCCAAATGTGCCACCAAAGGAGTATTTGTGTTCTGGGTGGGTTTTGTTTGTCAACATCAACATTACCAAATCGAAGTGGTGAAAAAATGAAGCCAAATTGTTTTATAAAGCCGAAATCTAACTGGCTCATGAACCCACACATCGTTTGTTTAGATTGGGAGGTCAGTTTGTTCAGGGTTCATCTGATGTGACCTCCTATGCAGGGGTCATCAGATCTTCATGCAGGTAAAAGATCTGATTGTAATGAGGTTGGCATTTCTTAATGATTATTTCATTAAGTTGAATCAAATCTTAATTAGTAATTGTCAAAGTTTCTTTTGTATACATTCAAAGACCATGTGACCTTGACACATTTATTATGTCCTAAGCTGTGGCATAGATTTGACAAAACTTTCGAAACTTTATATACAAGTTCAAATGTAATTTATATTTATAAGGATTGTCATCAATAAAAGAGCTACAAGCATTTCCAAAGAAGACCCTTGACAACAGATATGACCATCATCATTTGTATAGGTCACTGATAGCAGGCCAAGGTTTAAAGCAACTTATGACCTGCTTGATACTGATAGAACATAATACATGTATGTGAGCATGTATTATTGGATATTTAGGCTCCCACTATCAACAGAAGACATGCTCTGTCAGCACAGTGTATGAATTCATGTAGGTCTTGTGTGATACTTTTCGGTAAGTTGCTCAAACCAAACACTGGAGGCTTGAGCAGTATTCTCCACAGAGAGAATAAACTCCAGTCAAATTCTGTTCATCTGGACAGAACTATAATAAAACATACAACTTTATGTACAACAACTTCTGGTTCATAAAACTGTTTCAATACAGAGTATTATCTCTTAGTATATCTACATATATTCTCCAGAAGGCAGTTTCCGACCAAAAGGGCTTGAGCCTTTTTAGTTTTACTGTAAACATCTTTTGACCTGGATCAGACCTTAAACTGAACTGTTGGCACATGACAGGCTTGGAGCCAGTATAATGTCGGGATATACATGTATAAACTGCTGAAATCTCAGTGGGCAAGCACTGTAAAAGGTGATGTGAGGTGAAATGGGGTTTAACATTGCATCCAAGATTATTGCACTTATACAACAACGTGCATGCAAGTGTGTGTGTGTGAGTGTGTGTGAGTGTGTGGCTGCTTGTACTAGTCCGGACTGATGCCGATGTATAGTGCTAGCCCACTGAGATACCATGCCACAGTTTAACATGAATACCTCACTGAGACATAGTATACTGACTCCTAGCCGACGAGTCCTTGTTTTAGCCCCTTAATGCCGAGCGCCAGACAAGGTAACAACAAGTACCATCTTTTAACGTCTTTTGGTATGACGCGACCGGGGATCAAACCCCGGACCTTCCGCTCTCTGGGCAGACGCTCTACCACTAGACCACGGAGTGAGTGAGTGAGTGAGTGAGTTTGGTTTAACGCCGCTTTTAACAGTATTCCAGTTATATCGCGGCGTGTCAGCTTAATGTGGGAGGAAAGCCCGAAGTGATGCAGGTCTTCGACGTTTACCACTTCGGTGAAACCCATGAGCACGGGTATGGTGCTGACAAACCTAGAAACATAATCGGGGCGAACCAGAATTCGAACCCACAATCATAGGTTTCTGGCGTGCCCAAGGGATGCAACTCTGCACAGCGAATCGCGGCGCCTTAGACGACTGGGCCACCCGTGCCCCCCTAGACCACGGAGGCGGTCAGCACTGTAAAACCAGCACAAGTCCGGACTCGTACAAGCATGCATGCACATCACTATATAGTATAATAATCATGAATACACCATTCATGCCCATTTCATCTCACTCTGTAAATGGTACCAGTTTCTTATTTCCATAAGCTTTCACACAGACAGAAAACATTATAATTGCTCCTTAAATTCAATGTTTTAATCTTGTATGACCTATGCCATGGCATCTTGACATGGACCTAAAATCCCGAACAATTGACTCTATTTGACCTTGACCTTGACCTACAATGCTCTGGTCAAATAAGGTCAAATAGAATGGATCAGCATTTTATCTTAAAACAAGCAATAGGTTTGAGCAGGTGCTGATTCCCAGACTAACACATATGTGGATAGTCATAATGCTACGATCCCATTGTGCACCAGTGTACATGCAAGGCCAAGTTTAAGCTGCGACTGCATTGTTGGCCTCTTCTGTTGTGAGGCAGTGCTTGTGGAATGGTAGAAGATGGCCCCGTGAGCGTCTGGAATAAGATGCATAAAGCCCAAAGCCTAGACATATGAAAGCAAATGAAACAATCACCAAGAAACCAAACACAGGCGGTTGTGGAAGAGCAACTACAAGAATGAACTTGAGCACATCCATGAGCTTGTTGATTGAGTTCTGAACGCCATTCACTTTCCCGCGTTCATGTTCCTTCACCCGTTCCAAGAACAGCTGTGTAATAGTGAGATCTGCCACCCACAACCCTGAAACAAAGAGTTGAAGCTGATATCTTCATGAGACTATTGAGCCAGAAAGACTGAATAAAATACACAGAAGTCTGATGAAAGTCAGACTTTGTGAGGTGAGGTGAGGTGAGGTGAGGTGAGGTGAAATGAGGTTTAACAGCTTGTTCAAGATTGTTGCTAAGTGCATGCATGTGTGTGTGTGGCTGCTTGTACTAGTCCGGACTAATGCTAATTTTACAGTGCTAGCCCACTGAGGTACCATGCTGCAGTTTAAAATGAATACCCCTCTCAGACACAATATACAGACTCCGAGCCGACCAGTCCTTGTTTTAGCCCCACAATGCTGAGCACCAGGCAATATAACAACAAGAGCTATCTTTTAACGCCTTTTGGTCTGACATGGCCAGGGCGATCACTCTACCACTAATCCATGGAGGTGGTTGAAAGTCAGACCTTGAGTCATACTGGGAGGTGTTTATTAAGTCAGGATTGAAAGGATTTACTTGGTAAAACATTGTTCACGGAATGTTCACGATTATTTCCACAAAGCATAATATCATTAAAGAGTGAATTAGGTAGAACATTGCAAAGATGCCTACAACTTGGGTTAAACGATCAAAAGAGCAGGACAATGTGACGAATCTGGGATTTCAACCAACTAACAATGGATCATGATATGACTAGGGAATGCAACTCCGTACAGAGAATCTGGGATTTCAACCAACTAACAATGGATCATGATATGACTAGGGAATGCAACTCCGTACAGAGAATCTGGGCCAATGAGACCAGCCATGTCTCCACAACTGTCACTAACTCCCAAACCTTATCTACGTTGACCATGTTTACGGCAGTTGTAGCGAGGAGATCTGTTTGTGAATGAGTGAATGTTGTGTCACGTCAGTCTGCGAAAGTGACACAAGGATCGGTGTCTCCCATTGTGATACATGTATTGCTGGAATATTGCTAAAAGTGGCATAAAACCATGTAAACTCACTAACAACACAATTATGATATCCATTGTGATCTCTCACTCCTTATTCATTGTCTCTTATGAACACCTCTGCTACTGGGGACCTTTTCCATCCTGGAATACCCACAGGGGAGTTTGTCTTAATGCTTTCAATGCTACTGTCTAACCCATTCAACAAGAGTGTATCACGAGCCGTGTTGCTACTGTCGAACCCATTCGACAGGCGAATAGCATAGGGACACCCAAAAAACTTGCACTTACTATTTTCCAAGTAGGCATTAAAATTATGTATGGTACTCATAAATGCTCAGCATGCAAAATATCAAAACTTTTTGTCGTTTATTTACCTAAAAAAGAAAACATCGCGAGTTAAGAGAGTATCGGCCAAATTAAGATATAGGAGATATGATTATTAAAATCAATTTGCACAAATGTAATGATTTAAAAAGGTTCCTGGCATGAAATGCAAACCACCTTCAATAACGTAATTTGCACCATTCCTTTTCATGTAGACTTACAATACTATTTTCTATTCTAATACAAGGTGTTGCTGAAAATGTGTGAGCAAAGGATTTGTGGTAATTTTGAGCCATCATAAACAGGAAATTATTAAACTTACCAAACCGAGCAGTGATGATGCCAGCCATCAGTAAGGCAATGGAGATATAGGACTCCGGACCAGTCGGCCCCTCACAGCCCGGAACAGCAGGTGTCGTGTTGTTGACAACCATGGCCACAGCAGCCACCCCAGGATTCTTCACTCCTGCCACAGTGGCTGTGGTGTACGAGGAGTTGAAAGAGACAACAAGTGGAGACGCTGTGGTGTACGAGGAGTTGAGAGACGCTGCTGTAGGGCAGGTGGTCTCATTGCTGGGGGAATGGTCCTCGAAGAAGTAATAAGGGTTGAAGGGGCTCCCTGGCAGCCACACTGACAGGACACACATCATCAGGCAAGTGATCTGCGCGGAGAGGGCAAACAGTCCGGTCCTCTCCAGTCCGACACATCGCCGGAGTGCCGGGTAGGCCAGTGTGCCTATAATGCCTATTAGAGCTGCACCTCCCATGAAGCCTCCTAGGATGGACTCGGATATTCCTTGAGAGTAGGCGTAGCCTGCAATAAAAAGTGAGTGAATGAATGCACAGTCAGCAAACTACCGTATTCGACGTAATAAACACCCCGCTCTAATAAGTGCCCACAGCGATATTTGCTTATATTGGCTAGTGAACAATCAGCACCCTTTCCGATTGATTAATGTACACAAGACTTATTTATTCGTGTATAATACGCACTCGTGTGTTATATGCACCCTTAATTATGGGCAATTGAATTCTGGAAAATATATATGTCGTAAGGTAAACATTTCAGGCTGTCAGCATAAACCATTTAAACAATAAACAATTTACGATCTTTCAACTTTTTTTCACCAAAATAATATTCTACTAAGAGCTCCCTATTACATCGAATATAGTATGTCCTGACAACATTTGAATGTTATGTCAAGGCTTGTCTGCTTACTGTAGGAAGGAAGCAAGCCCCAAGTGATGCAAGACTTTCTATTCACCGCTTCAGTGAAACCTAAAAACATGGGTACGGTGCTGGCAAACTAAGAATCAGAATGAGGAAGAACAAGGGATCAAAATCCATGTTAATAGGATTCTGGTACACCTATGGGAAGCAACTCTGCACAGCAAAGTGCTGGGGCCTCAGACAACTGGGCCACCCCGGGCCCCATAAATGGCCCAGACTATCCAGTGGTTGACAGCATTGGCAACAACCCACACAGTCAGGGCACCATGACACACAATCACCCAGGTCACAGATTGTGACAAGTAGATCATCAGTTGAAGCTGACAACAAGCATGAGTACTGGCATGAGCAGATCCAGACAGGGGTTCCTGGGGTGCAGCCCCCCTGTGTTGAAGTATAATACTTGTATAATCTTTCATTAACGTATAAAAAGCATAACTGAATCATTTGTTGATATTTTCAACAAAAATAACAAGAATTTCCTGAATGCATTATTTGCATTCATCTAGCATTGTTTTCATTTTAAGTGCACCCCTGCTTTTTTCAAGATCTGTTCAGCCCCAGTTTTCAAAATGTCTGTATCCACATTGTACTATTCTAGCCTGGAATCCCCACAAGTGTCGGAAGGGAGGATTAGCCTTTTCTTATTTCTTTGTTTCGAGATTTTTATGCGGAGATTCCTGCCAGCTGGTTGGAAAGATTGTTCTCTGTTTTTTTCGATGAAAGTTCTCAAAACATGTTGCCAGATGTACAGTGTTAGTGAAGCTTGTCTCATTAATTAACCTTTGTATGCACAACTTGTGCTTGGTAAACACATAAATCATTTGGTGAATGTTAGAAATAAAAAACTTCATTTCCGGTTTTCATTTCTTCACTTTTTATTTTCTTAGGGATGATAGAATCATCAAATCAAAATTCTTGCCTGAATTGACCTCAATAATTCATAAATATGTGAGAAAAACAAAGATGAGTTTTTTCATTACCACTACAAACCAGAAGACTCCACGTGGCTCTGACTTCCTGTCACATGACAACCACATACAGAGCCTGTAAGTTGGGTGAGTGAGTCAGTGAGTCTGTTGGGTTTAACGCCGCATTTAACGGTGACCTAGTTATATCACGGCATGCCAGCTTAATGTGGGAGGAAAGCCCGAAGTGATGCAGGTCTCAGACGTTTACCACTTTGGTGAAAGCCACGAGCACAGGTATCGTGCTGACAAACCTAGAAACATAATCGGGGCAAACTGGGATTCAAACCCTCAATCATACGGGATTGGGTGGTCAGGCTCACTGACTTGGTTGATGCATGTCATTGTATCCCAAATGCATGGATCGATGCTCATGATGTCCGTCACTGGATTGTCTGATCCAGACTCGATTAATTACAGACCTCCATCATATAGCTCGAATATTGCTGTGTGTGGCATTAATCAACAAACAAACAAATCAGGTAAGACTGACCCACCTGTGGTGATATTATCGAAGCCTAGCACAGTCATGTAGAGGCAGGCCAATCCAAGTCCAGCATTGGCCACATCATACGTCAGGTATGTCCGCCAACCTTTGTAGAGAATTACGAAACTTGAAAACATTTTCTTTAGAATACTCCCACAGCAGGACAAATGTTCCTCTTTATCTTCCTCAGGAACATCTTCCGTTTCTTTTGAACTTTCAGCAGTTTCAATTTTTTCAGACGATATTGTTTGTTGGTCCTCATCAGCTGCATCTGGTATTTCCAAATTAGAGTTGTCTCCCCTACTCTGTGTTTGACCATCAATGTCATCTATAGGCAGATCAGGGTTTGCCTCATTCGCAACAGCAATTTCTTCTTCTGGGGATTCTGCTTTTGCTCCTGGAAAGGAAACAAACACAAAATTGAGTTACCTCTATTTTTCACAAACACCTGTATACTACGGTGCAGACTCACATGAAATGATATTTTTATCTGATGAAGTATGGTTTTCGAGAATGGATGTTAATAAATTTACATAGCAAGTCCAGAGGGATGTAACAAAATTATGGCTGTATTAGGAACAAACACTACGTATTTAGCCCGCAAAGGGTGCTAAATTACAATGTTTATTCCTAATACAGCATATTCACCATCCCCAAAGTCAAACACACAAGCGTGATAACCTCTATATTCCCATGGATTTCAAATTCAGACAAAATCTAAAGCATCTGCATTTACATTAAGTATGTTTCCTAAACATGCTAAATATTGACTAACTTACTGTCATTTTTCGTCCAGTATTTCTTCTTGCTTAGAGCTGGCACTGTGTTGTAGACCTTCCATATAAGGTAGTACTCCAGGAACACTGTCACCACGTTCCAGCCACCGATGAACACAGCGCCAATCCTCATCTCCGTGAAATACATTATCTGACCGGTTGCAATTGGAGCCAAAATCTTTGTTGCAAGGTCAATTCTTCTCAATGTAGATGTCATCCCTGGGAATGAAGAAAAGAATATGTATTAATACACCATTTTGGACATAACCTATCAAAGTGAAAGAATAAGGATCAAAAGATCACGGGTATTAGCACTATCATGCCTATTGTATATATTAGGGGATCCTTAGGGGATAACCATTTGATACTCTGGTGGGGGTTGGGGGACGGGATGGGGTTTGGGGGGTTGCCTTGAATTGGCACCGCCAATGGAGGTGTCCTCAAATCAAAGTAAAGATCTCATTATAATGAGATTGTTGCCTCCGCGAAAAAGGATCAGAACTGTGTCAAATCATGAATTCAAACTCAAGAGCAGCGGATCCTGTTCCTGATACAGCTAAGGGACATAATTCACCACATTGAACACCAATACCAGTGAAGCATTTTCCTTTGAGTATATACTAGTCTGACCACTTACTTGCCAGCATGTCTTTGTCCTTGCCACAGATTTCAACAATCCAGTCCTTCTCCACGGCGATGACGCGTGCCAGGCTGAACACATTGGCTAAGATGGCCAGGATGATGATGACCGCTGATGCCAGTCTCTGCAGCCACCCGTCCCACATGGACTCGATGTCCTCTTGGTAGGTGAGGTTGACGTACACAACCCCCGCACACAGAGCCACACACAGATTCTGCAGCACCAGGGACAGCTGTGCAGCTGCAACAGACAGACAGTGAGCGAGCGATTGATTTAATGCAGCTTTAAACAGTACTTCAGCTAAATGTGTAGGATGCAGACATTAACAACAGGCATGCTGCAAAAATGTAATTCTTGAATATGATCTCACAGTCATATTCCAGCTACATTATGGTGGCCTGTAAATACTGTAAATCGTGAAATTAATGCGTCTCCAAAAGAATTTGACCATTGGTCCCTAGCCAAAAGTACACCCCCTCCTCTCAAGCATTAGTGGATTTATATCTAAAGAAAACGTCCTCTGTCAGGTTTACATCCTCTGTCAGGTTTACAGGAGAATTCTCACCTAAATCCAACCTTACATTAATCCAATCACACGTCAAGTAGCACCACGTATTAGCGGTAAAACAATACATGCGCTGGCTTGTGTGGGCCGTTGATGCAAGCAGTGACAATTCACAGGATGTAATTAGTGTTTGAATGATATTGTTTATATACTTGTCACAAGTGCTGCTCAATAAACAGTGATGTGGAATACATAGTTGTTTGTTTTCAGCGTATGTCTGAGTTGGTATTTCTGCTATCCAATATGTCTTATTTTTATATAAATCGGATGTTTAATAATGCGAGTAAAGACCACTCGCAGTTTTCGCATTTAATTCACGCTCACTTTACTTTCAAGATATACAGTAATCAAGTCTGGGCCAGACAATCCAGTGATTTATATTGTTAACAATGATCCATGCCATCAGGGTACGATGATACGCGATCATCTAAGTAACCAGCCTCTACTACCTGATCCACTCAGTGGCCTCTTACAACAAGCATAGGCTGCTGAGGACCGATTCGCCATGAGGAATAGAGCTGCAGTGTCAGCTGGTGACTGGTTCTTCAGATGAAGTATGTATGAGGGAGTATAGCTCACGCTTCTTTTAGCAATATTTCAGCAATATCACGGCAGTGGACACCAGAAATGTGCTTCACACACTGTACCCATATCGAGAATGAAACGGCATGATAAGCTAACATTTTAACTACCAGGCTACCCTACCGACATGTATGAAGTTCACCCAGCAGTGAAAGTGCACCTGGTAGGATAAAACATGATCATGAATGGTAACCTTCTAGTGCCTCACATGCAGTTGGGGTATGGCACTCCCTAGGGAATAGAGAAAGAAAATCCAGTGCACACTGATCTATAAACCTGGGTAATGATGGTGTTATCGCTGATGCATGCTTTGACTGATGGACCATAGCGCATTACAAATCAATTTCATATTAAAAGGGTAACGCTATTTTTCAGGGCATTATCATTTGCAGAAGCCTGAGGTCTTCAATTAACTGCCCGACGAAGGAGGGCAGTTGAAAAGAGCGAGGGCTTCTTCAAATGAATTGCTTCTGCAACCTTTGAGTAGTGGTGTGTTGTCTACCTAGTGTGAACCTCACCTTTGATTCTGTGTGTTGCCTACCTAGTGTGAACCTCACCTTTGATTCTGTGTGTGTTGCCTACCTAGTGTGAACCTCACCTTTGAGTCATGGTGTGTTGTCTACCTAGTGCGAACCTCACCTTTGATTCTGTGTGTGTTGTCTACGTAGTGTGACCCTCACCTTTGATTCTGTGTGTGTTGCCTACCTAGTGTGAACCTCACCTTTGAGTCATGGTGTGTTGTCTACCTAGTGTGAACCTCACCTTTGAGTCATGGTGTGTTATCTACCTAGTGTGAACCTCACCTTTGAGTCGTGGTGTGTTGTCTACCTAGTGCGAACCTCACCTTTGATTCTGTGTGTGTTGTCTACGTAGTGTGACCCTCACCTTTGATTCTGTGTGTGTTGCCTACCTAGTGTGAACCTCACCTTTGAGTCATGGTGTGTTGTCTACCTAGTGTGAACCTCACCTTTGAGTCATGGTGTGTTATCTACCTAGTGTGAACCTCACCTTTGAGTCGTGGTGTGTTGTCCACCCAGTCTCCGATCAGGGCTCCCAGAAGGAGAATGGAGAGCCCTGAAGCAAGCCCATAGGATGCGGTCAGCTGAAGGGAATCTGGTGAAATCTTGATAAGGAACAGGCCAACACCAAAGGCCCACATACGATCTCCCTGAAACAATGCCACCATACAATATCCCTGAAACAATTCCCACATAAGACCTCCCTGAAACAATGCCAGCATAAGATCTCCTGAAACAATTCTGCATACGACCTCCCTGAAACAATGCCTACATACATCCTCCCTAAAACAAAGCCAGCATAAGATCTCCCTGAAACAATGCTGCATACGACCTCCCTGAAACAATGCCCACATACAAACTCCCTGAAACAATGCCAGCATACAATCGCCCTGAAACAATTTCCACATAAGACCTCCCTGAAACAATGCCAGCATTAGATCTCCTGAAACAATGCTGCATACGACCTCCCTAAAACAATGCCAACATACAATCTCCCTGTAACATATCCCACATAAGACCTCCCTGAAACAATGCCAGCATAAGATCTCCTGAAACAATGCTGCATACGACCTCCCTGAAACAATGCCTACATACATCCTCCCTGAAACAATGCCAGCATACAATCTCCCTGAAACAATGCTGCATACGACCTCCCTGAAACAATGCCAGCATAAGACCTCCCTGAAACAATGCCAACATAAGATCTCCTGAAACAATGTCTACATACATTCTCCCTGAAACAATGCTAGCATACAATCTCCCTGAAACAATGCCAGCATGCAATCTCCCAAAAACAATTCTCACATAAGACCTCCCTGAAACAATGCCAGCCTAAGATCTCCTGAAACAATGCCCACATACAACCTCCCTGAAACAATGCCAGCTTAAGATCTCCTCAAACAATGCCAGCATACAATCTCAGAAAACAATTCCCACATAAGGCCTCCCTGAAACAATGCCTGCATAAGACCTCCCTGAAACAATGCCAGCATAAGATCTCCCTGAAACAATGCCAGGATACAATCTCCCTGAAACAATTCCCACATACATGACATAAGACCTACTTGAAACAATGCCAGCATAAGATCTCCCTGAAACAATGCTAGCATAAGACCTCCCTCAAACAATGCCAGCGTAAGACCTCCCTGAAACAATGCCAGCATAAGATCTCCCTGAAACAATGCTAGCATAAGATCTCCCTGAAACAATTCCCACATACAACCTCCCTGAAACACTGCCAGCATAAGACCTCCCTGAAGCAATGCTGCATACAACCTCCCTGAAACAATGCCCACATACAACCTCCATGAAACAATGCCAGCATAAAATCTCCCTGAAACAATGCCAGCACAAGGTCTCCCTTAAGCAATGCTGCATACGACCTCCCTGAAACAATGCCCACATACAACCTCCCTGAAACAATTCCCACATAAGACCTCCCTGAAACAATGCCAGCATAAGACCTCCCTGAAACAATGCCAACATAAGATCTCCTGAAACAATGTCTACATACATTCTCCCTGAAACAATGCTAGCATACAATCTCCCTGAAACAATGCCAGCATGCAATCTCCCAAAAACAATTCTCACATAAGACCTCCCTGAAACAATGCCAGCCTAAGATCTCCTGAAACAATGCCCACATACAACCTCCCTGAAACAATGCCAGTCTAAGATCTCCTCAAACAATGCCAGCATACAATCTCCGAAAACAATTCCCACATAAGGCCTCCCTGAAACAATGCCTGCATAAGACCTCCCTGAAACAATGCCAGCATAAGATCTCCCTGAAACAATGCCAGGATACAATCTCCCTGAAACAATTCCCACATACATGACATAAGACCTACTTGAAACAATGCCAGCATAAGATCTCCCTGAAACAATGCTAGCATAAGACCTCCCTCAAACAATGCCAGCGTAAGACCTCCCTGAAACAATGCCAGCATAAGATCTCCCTGAAACAATGCTAGCATAAGATCTCCCTGAAACAATGCCAGCATACAATCTCCCTGAAACAATTCCCACATAAGACCACCCTGAAACAATGCCCATATAAGACCTCCCTGAAACAATGCCAGCATAAGACCTCCCTGAAACAATGCCAGCATAAGATCTCCTTGAAACAATGCCAGCATAAGATCTCCTGAAACAATGCCCACTTACAACCTCCCTGAAACAATGCCAACATAAGATCTCCCTGAAACAATGCCAGCATACAATCTCCCTGAACCAATTCCCACATAAGACCTCCCGGAAACAATGCCAGCATACAATCTCCCTGAAACAATTCCCACATACAACCCCCCTGAAACACTGCCAGCATAAGACCTCCCTGAAGCAATGCTGCATACAACCTCCCTGAAACAATGCCCACATACAACCTCCATGAAACAATGCCAGCATAAAATCTCCCTGAAACAATGCCAGCACAAGGTCTCCCTTAAGCAATGCTGCATACGACCTCCCTGAAACAATGCCCACATACAACCTCCCTGAAACAATGCCAGCATAAGGTCTCCCTGAAACAATGCCAGCATAAGGTCTCCCTGAAACAATGCCAGCATAAGATCTCCCTGAAACAATGCCAGCATACATTCTCCCTGAGAAAATTCCCACATAAAACTTCCCTGAAACAATGCATGCATAAGATCTCCCTGACACAATGTACAAGATGGGGTTTGTGACTTCTCAACAGCATGTATTTTTATTAAACAGTTTACAAATATTTCATATTTCATACTCATATGTCTTTTGTGGTATTGTGTGTCTCACAGGGCTCTACAGATATTGCATCCTGCTTACGGCAGCTGTGGCTTCATGGACATTATAACAAGGTGCCCGGACAAGATAACCACAGTTCAGGGGAGGTAAGAAATGCTACAGAAAAGCCTCACTTACCCATGCTGACAGAAAGTGGCTACAGTACACTAGGAAGTTGGTTCCTGTCAGGAAGTCCTTGCACTCACCTGCAACACATGGATACACTGTATCATGGAAGTATTACAGACAAAGAATCTAATATTCAGGGGAGCGGGGTAGGGGAGGATGTGTGAGTGAATTTGTGTTTGAGATAGAATATAATTTCGGGGAAGACATACAATATTTTTTTGAGTGGAGGTGCCTAATAATTGATTATTTTCAGAACATCCATCATGTCTTCTGAATGATTTTTGTTCTTGAACAACCTGAGGATAAATCATTTAAGGGAGGGGGACAGATCAGTTTAGAAAAATAATTCCAGCTACACCACCAAGAATATCAGGTGAGGTGAGGTGAAATTGGGTTTAACGTCGCGTCCAAGATTATTGCACTTATATAGTGACGTGCATGCACGTGTGTGTGTGTGTGTGTGGCTGCTTGTACTAGTCCGGACTGATGCCGATTTATAGTGCTAGCTCACTGAGATACCATGCCGCAGTTTAACATGAATACCCCACTCAGACACAGTATACTGACTCCGAGCCGACCAGTCCTTGTTTTAGCCCCTTAAAGCCGAGCGCCAGACAGGGTAACAACAAGTACAATCTTTTAACGTCTTTTTGTATGACGCGGCCCGGGGTCGAACCCTGGACCTTCCGCTCTCCGGGCGGACGCTCTACCACCCAAGAATATCAAATAGTATAACCCTTAGAATCATTAAGGAGACAAAGACATGTATATATCTTTATTACCCATAGGGTTAGAAATAACTGAGTTCATAAAAATTGAATGTCCACTAGTGGAAATATCACTTCTCTCACACCAGTGTATTGTTTCTGTCATCCGGACGGCATGGATGACGGCATTCAAATCTTATTGTGACGTCAGGTCGGAATGACGTCACAGCTGCTGAAGATTGTTGGTGTCATTGGATAAATTTTTACACCTGCATGTGTGTCATACTGATTTTATTAAACTCATGTAAGAATGCATGTACAAGCATTGATGGTCAGTTTAATTATGAGGATCAGCTAAAACAAAAGTAACATGTTTCTCCCATTGTCCCAAGTCAAAGAGAGTAGCGGTACATCCAGGAGCATTAAGTCGAGGGACCACTGTATATTCCTTCTTAAAATTAAGATCAACAATGCTATTACTGTACTGAAAAAAAATTCAATCAAGATTTGTCAGTAATATATAACGATACAAGTGATTAACATGACAAAAGAAAAAAGCCTTAACAAGACTTAGCATTCCCTCTCTGAAGCATAATTGAGAATAAAAACAAGATCCCAGTTACTTTTTGTAACCCTTGATTATCCAGTGTATTGCTTTAAATCATGATATTAATGCATCACCATTCTGTGAGTGCTGCCCTCATGTCACAAATGTGTCTATTTAATGCAAGTTGCCATACCTTTGAAATTTAAAAAATAATCAATCACCAAACAACAACGCCAAATGTAGACACAGAATTCTGTATTGGATTTGGTGAAAGTAGTTAGATTAAAAAAAAATACATGCTATTTAACAAACTTTGTTTGTTTGTTTGTTTGTTGTTTAACGCCACTCAGCAATATTCCAGCTATATGACTGCAGTCTGGAAATAATTGAGTGTGGACCTGACAATCCAGTAACTGAGATCATGAGCATCATTTCACGTAATTGGAATACAAAGACATGCATCAACCAAGTCAGCGAGTATGACCATCTGATCCCATTTATAAGTCGCCTCTTATGACAAGCATGGGTTGCCGAAGGCCTATTCTAACACAGATCTTCACGGGTTCTTCACAAACTTAACCTGTCTCTCTTGGGCAAGAGCAGGAAATTCCGAATTAGGTATATTCAAATGAGATAGATAAGGTCAATGGATGAAGATTGTAAAATGTTCCCAGTGTGGTTACACCAGTTGGTGCAATACTGTTAACTTAAATAAGCAGAGTTAAATATTCACCCCCGACTGCTGTTACTGTACCGGACATATTCACCATGTGCCTGAGAAATGTGCAACTTGTAGATAAAGAAGAACTCGCTTTGTGACTGTTATAACATTAGATCAACCTGTGTAAACAACTGACCACATTTGACACAGTATTTGGCGAGAAGCACTAAATGTAAAGCTCAATACATTTTGTTTCTTGGGAGCTTGTTATGCATAGTCCTTGTTTCCAGCATGTGGCATTGAACCTGATGTGAGAATAAACTCCAACATGTCCACATAATAATGCATAACTTTATTAATGAAAACAACTTGGTTTGGTTTGTTTGCTGTTTAACGCCACACTAAACAATATTCCAGCTATATTTCGGCAGTCCGTAAATAAACGAGTCTGGACAAAATAATCCAAAGATTTACATCATGAGCATCAATCTACACAATTGGGATACGACGACAATTTAGCAACAACCAAGTCAGCGAGCCTGACCTACCCATTCCATGAGTCGCCACTTACGATAAGCATAGTCGCCTCTACGGTAACCATGGGTTGCTGAAGACCACTATTCTAACCTGAACTTTCACGGGTTGCAAACAACTGATATTCGTATTTATTTCATGATTGACAGTTTATCTCCATTCTCATGTGATAAAGACCCTAAACACATTTGCTACCATGGCCTTATTTTGAAGCTGATTAAAATAGCACAACACAACAAAAGTCGTCCATCAAATAACTCTCAGTAGTGATGGAAATTCTGTACTTCAATAAGAGAAAGGATGGAGGTAGTGACGTCACTGTAATTTATTGCTAAACAATGATTGTAACTGTATTACATTGTTTCTATTGAGATTCAATAAAAATTCATTGAAATGTATTTTGACAATGATTAGCTGTCAGGAAATGTTGTTACAGTACTATTTAATGTAAGGTGAGTGGTGAGGAAGTTATTATATTTGGATCCTCGAATTACCTGTAAACTTCCAGAATGGGATGGTTGGATGTCAAGCATTACAGAAACAGGTGGAATATTCTGTGATGTTCCCATGACACTGGACTGGTCTATCAGTGTGTGGAAAGTGCTGTAAGCTAGTTAGAATTTTCAAGTGGAACAGGCGCATGCCTGTCGCATCTCACATTTCATCTCACATTACATCAAGTCCAGTCTTCGTGTGAAGATCACTTATCACACCAGATCAGCCTAGGCCTATCTCAGAAGCTTGACCACTGTTGCAGATAGGTGAATATTATCATCACTGAACGTTTGGTTACCACCACTGCCATCCTATTGTGTATTTGATACTGCCATTGAACATTGTACTACCACTCTACTGCATACTACCATTGTAATTGCTGTGCAGTGATTTGTATTGATTTGTAAACCTAGTTAATTGTGTGAAAACAAAGGGGCGAGTCGGCCGACTTGACTGAGTGAACACATAACCCGGAAGTGCTGACAGGAGGACTGTCGGAGCATGCGCACTCCCTATGCTGACGGTAGGACAGTCGGAGCATGCGCACTCTCTGTGGGAAATAATTCAGCAACACATCCCATTGTTGATTGTATACCATTTGTTGGTTGTTTGTTGGTTTCACACTAGATTCTTTAACATACATATTTCTAGATCAACTAATTGTTTCAATTTGGGAATCGACACGTAACAAGAGAATCAACACGTAACAACTTCGAAAACAAAGCTATGGTGGGAAATGAGTCAGAGGTAATTATCATCATAACATAGAGATATAATCCCCCGGATAATAGAGGATAATTTATGGTATATCGGGTGAGCTACCAGCTCATGCACACTTTCACAAGGAATTTGAATACACTTGGTCTGACTTGATTATGCATGCCAAGCATCACAGATAAGCATGTCTCATGCTGAGACACAACCAAAGGCAGCATGGGCTGAAGGCATGTTTATGAATATCTCCTATAAAGATGTTGCTGTTCTGTAGCAACACCATCTCATTACGATGTCCAATACGGAAACCTCTCTGCATCTTGAAGGTTACTTCAGCTGAGCCATGAGCAAACTTTAACTGTCCAACATAAATGAAGAATGCTCATGGTTCTTGAGTGAGTGAGTGAGATGAAGGTTTTCTGAAATGATTTTGCTTCTTTTCTTTACCACCTCGTTTCCAAAATTTTGAAAAAAACAAAATTTCTTTTTCAGGATACAGAAATCAGTTATGCTGGTGTGACTACTTCACTTTACCAAGGATTTTAATTGGCTTATTAGAAAGTGCACCTGATGTGACCTCCAAAGGAGAATTTCTCACATCTTCACGAACTTTGACCAAACACTGAAACGACTAATAGAAGTAGACATCAGCCAATTAGAAAGCAGCTTTCTCAAACTTGATGGCATTCTTTTCATCCTGGCGACTTCCATTTCTGACTACACTTGATAAATATGTTGACAACGTTCTCGATTAAAATTTTGAAAACTGAACAAACTAACATTCCGGGATGTCTAATATATGGTTGCAATTGTATGGCAGTGCTTCCCATGTGCTGTGCAACGCCTCCTCTATTCAAATGTTTATCCCACAGAAGCGAGAGATAGACGATAATTTTGACGGAATCAGTGGTACAAGCTGTAACTGTCTTTCGGAATACCCCATGTTAATGTTAATGGCATGATTAGAAAACACATTCCGACTATCACTTTCATGATCTGGTTAGCGACACTTTGATTGGTCGGATGAAAGGTCGTTCTGACATGACCTGTAATGGGATGTCCTCAGATCTTTGTTTAGCGATAGCGAGAACTAAGATCTGATTTCAATGAGATTGAAACAGCTTCGAACTGTATTTCAGTCATATTGTCATAGCGACTGATTTACGACAACCATTGTCTGAAAGAACATTTAATTCCAAAGGCTAATTACCCTGGAGCCATGACATCTTTATGCCTTGAAAGACTCAATTGCCGTTATTTATAAGATGATAATCCCAATAGTTAATCCCCATTTTATTGTACATCCACTGTCTGCCATCCTGAACCAGATGTGTAAGTATGTCACTGATGAATTATTGTTTACATTTATTTATGACTTACTCAATGTCAGGTGACCTTGGCTATATAAGCCTTGGTCCA